ATGGGCACTTCACTTTAGCTGTTACAATGTAATAAGGGTTAACCAGAGAGGCAGTTTCTGTAAGCAAGGCAATAAAGATTAGGCTAGAAACAACAACAGAATTTTTCCTTCCTGCCTTTCTTATAGGATTAGCCCTGTAAAGTGGAAAAAAACAAAATGAGATTTCTTCCAACAACCGGTTCGCCGAACTGTTTAGAAAGTTACCAACCAGTTCTCCTGAATAGGTGCGAACTGGCTGAATCCCACCACTGGACTGGTTCGCCTGAACCGGTAGTAAAAAGTGCTACCGGTTTGGGCGAACTGGTATTTCTGACGATCAGCTGGGCCACTATCAGCTGTGACACTCGATTTATATTAGCTAGAATCATCAGGTTTCCTGCTTTCTAGCTAATCTAAATCACATGGCGTAGTGGATTCCCTTCCACGCCCTCACTGTTCTATTTACTTTTGCAGACTCGGAAGGCTTAAAAATGTTCCTTTTTTAGCGCTGCATGGGCGCACCTCAGTGCCCATGCACGCATAAAGTTACGCACTCGATAGCAGAATCACTGAACAGGTAGCAGACTTCAGATGATTACACTGCTGATTATAGGGAACCTCTCAAACCCTCCTAACACCAAAGGAAGAGAAAATTTAGATAATAGCCACGATCGATAATGATTTCCAACTCTATTTTTAAGAATAGAGCTGGAGTTCACCTGGCTGGAGGTTAAGCTGAAAAGATCATTGGCTTAGAATCAGTAAACAAGTAAAGGCCTCAAAACAGAAAACATCCTGGTTTTTTCCTCAGTGTATCAAATATTGTTTGACAAATAATGATAAATTCTGATAATTGATTTTAAACCATGATTCTTTCGAAGTGTCTTCTTTGATAGGCTGTGGTAGGCATATATTGCTATGCCCTGGTTGTGCTTTGATGAATGCTATGAAGAACTATAAACATAAATTATACAGTGCAGTAAATATTTTCAAAACCCTCAGACTAATTACAAAATGGTATTTTTCTGAGGATTTCATTGAACAGGGTGACTGTTGATTATTTTCTTCACTGACCTCCTCGGTTACATTTTCATGCGCTAAGTGGAGCTTGAATCCTATAGTTAACCTATTCAAGTCAGTGAGAACATTTAGCAAGTACTACTTATTAATTTCTACATGGGAAGTCAGAGAAGTTGAGTTCAACTTAGAGGAGACCTCATTTTAATTAATTACTCTATTGTTTTTAGTTACACAGCCCCAAACCATATTCATTGTTTCTTAGCCACGCTGAAGTTGTGATAATACTGTAAAAAAACAAAAGGGTGAGCTATATCGATTTAGACTGCAGATAAGGGCCTTATACTACTAGTTCATCAATCTCTTGTACACAATGAATGAATGAACGAATGAATGAATGAATGAATAAAATCCCCCAATATAGCTTCTCATTGATTTCTTTCAGGGGTGGGTTTCAACCGGTTCGTGGCGGTCCCTGCGAACTGGTTGGTTGGCAAACCCAGAAGTAAGTAACTTCCGGGAACGGCGAATGGCCCGCCCGCCCGCCCGCGGTCCTTACCCGGTTTTGACGAGTTCTGCACTTCCACGCATGCGCAGGATGCATACAGCGCCTGCACGATCCTCCAGGAGCAGCTGGAGCGTCGCGCAGACGCTAGTATGCATGCATGCACCGCGCGCGTGCACGAGGACGCCGTTGGAACGGGGCGAGAAACCCACCCCTGATTTCTTTGATTCCTATATTTGGGGAGACGATGTTTCCCCTATGTGGAACATTCTCAAGAGACAATTCACTTAAGATATGAACAAATACAACTCATGTTGTAAATGTATTTATTAATAACTATAATGGAAAGACCAAGATCAGCTGTTCTGATATATTACTTCATTGGGATTATAAACAAACAGAGAAAAGAAATAAGATGATAACTACAGGCTTTGCCACCACAATTATGTATGACTGGATCCAGTTTGGCGAGTAGAGAAAGTTTAAAGATTACAGGGAATCGGTTTTATCCCCGTACTGCAGGACTTCCCAACGTGTCAATTTTAAGGCATGGGCCCTCAATTTCCAGAATTCCCCAGTCAACATGGGGAATGGGGTCAGGAATTCTGGGAATTGAA